TGCTGGGAGACTCAGCAAAGCATTTTCTAGGGATTCATATACTGTCGAGCTTAAGGAAAGAGGCTGCCGTGGAAAAATGGATCGGATTTTAACCAAATACAAAGAGGAAGACCTGAAAGGTTTAAAGAGGCAAGTTTGCTTTTGGTAGGCTTTTTGATACTCAGAATGGAGTACAATGTTCAGCCCTCTGTCTGGCCCTCTGTTTTTATTAGTTACAACAAAATGTGCGACAAGTTCATATGTTTTTTCTTGTATTGCCTTTTTTTTTCATAATCAGTGCTTGCTCTTTTGATGCTTAAATGGTAAAATGTATAATCTATCACGATCACGAAAATAAATTTTCATGCAAAACACGATTGATAGCCTTCAGGTTTAAGCTTACTTAAAAATTGGTTCATGCTTTAGCGTGCACTATCGAGTTATGGAGCACGCGGGAAGTTTGGAGAGCACGAAAGAAGCGTAAGAGTTGCCCGAGGCGATAGCCGAGGGCAACTCTAGCTTCTTGAGTGCTCTCCAAACTTCCCACGTGCTCCATAACTCGATAGTGCACAGCTGAAAGCATGAACCAATTGTTTTTTAGAACATAGCTAGCAGAGTCGCGCAATCAAATTCATTATACGTAAGCGTGCTCAAAATCCCGATAGTGCACGCTGATAGCGTCAGCAAATCCGACTTTGCCAGAAATTTTTTTTTCGCGCGAGCGGCCATTGCTAGTGCGGGGAAAAATAATACATTTCGCGACAATAATGGATACAAACAGAAACTCGGCCTGCTAGTCCGAAAATGAAGACAATGTTTCGACCTTTTCCAATGGGCTAGAGTTCTTAAATGAGGCAGAAAAAGAGAAAAACAAAGGAAAAGGAGACTCGGCATCAGCGCCGTCACGATTCGCTTCAACTGATATTGTTGTCTGTTTTTCGCGTCGCATTTGATGCACAATTCCACCGGCTATATTCTAAAACAATTGGTTCATGCTTTCAGCTGTGCACTATCGAGTTATGGAGCACGTGGGAAGTTTGGAGAGCACTCAAGAAGCTAGAGTTGTCCTCGGCTATCGCCTCGGGCAACTCTTACGCTTCTTTCGTGCTCTCCAAACTTCCCGCGTGCTCCATAACTCGATAGTGCACGCTAAAGCATGAACCAATTGTTAATTAGAACATAGCCGGTGGAATTGTGCATCAAATGCGACGCGAAAAACGGACAACAATATCAGTTGAAGCGAGTCGTGACGGCGCTGATGCCGAGTCTCCTTTTCCTTTGTTTTTCTCTTTTTCTGCCTCATTTAAGAACTCTATCCCATGGGAAAAGGTCGAAACATTGTCTTCGTTTTCGGAATAGCAGCCGAGTTTCTGTTTGTATCCATTATTGTCGCGAAATGTATTATTTTTCCCTGCACTAGCAATGGCCGCTCGCGCGAAAAAAAATTTTTTCTGGCGAAGTCGGATTTGCTGACGCTATCAGCGTGCACTATCGGGATTTTGAGCACGCTCACGTATAATGAATTTGATTGCGCGACTCTGCTAGCTATGTTCTAAAATTTGATAGTGCCATGGAGTATAAAACCAAATTGAGATTTTGACTCTGGCCTACATTTGTTCATTTAACTTAATTCAAGGCAAATCCAATCCTTTATTATAATTTTACAATTTACAACTTTTACAATTTTCCTGATTAGCTCCTCCCTCCTCATTTCGTTTTTAAACAACACTGGCTCAGCATTAATGTCAAGATTTTTAATTCTGTCGTTTATTTTGGATTTGGGATACCTGGTTTGAAATGGGTTTAGGGAGGTCTTGGATACAAGCAGTTAAGGTCCCTCCACCGACTACTTAATTCCATTAGATCACAATACATAAATACTTATCGACAGAACTTTGTCAGACTTCGCAGACAGCTACTTTTTGGGGACAGCCATCCACTTCAAAGCACTCTGACCATACTGATCAAACATGCTACAATGTGACTACAATGTTATGATTATTATTATTATTTGTGTTTTTGAAGATCAGGCACAGAGGAAGAATTCACTGAGATACAGCAGTTATGTGAGGATATCTTAGTATATAGAAGAGATATTGTAGAGATGCAAAAGATAGAAAAGGAATGAAAGAAAAGGGAGCAGGAAGATAAAAGGAAAGGGGAGGAGATGCAGCAGGCAGCTGTGGAAAGACTAGCAAGTTAATTTCAAATTCAATATGATTTTTTTCGAAACAAGCATGGGTTTATGGTGACGAGATCCATCAGGACCATAACTCATTTTGTGTTATTTTTCTTTTGCTGTTTTACACAGATTTTACCCAATTTTCTGAAAGTGCATGTTTTACTTGGTGGTTCATGATGTGTTGTGATTGAGCACCATATAATTTAAAAACGCCAACTAAACACCAACATAGCGCTAACTCGCCGAAAACGCTTCAAAATGGCCTGAGACGCTCGGAATCAACAAAGAAAACAACAAGGCAACAAGGTAAGCCCATTTTATTTCAAAACAAGACATTTTTTTCTCTCTTTTAAGGCAAACCGATAACATCCCATACAAACCTTTATAAATATAAAACGTTATGCAACACGGTAAGAGTCACGTCCACTTTTCTAGTAGTGAGCTTGGGCTGCCTGTGCGCAGTTTAGCTGACAGGCCACTCACCCCAAGCACGAAGGCATTGTGTCAGCGACCCTCTCTGGGACCAAACATGTGTCACCCTCCACAGGATTTCCAGCTTAATGGTGATGACATGGGCACAATATTTTAGCACGGTACACAAAAGAAATTTTCGTTAACACAGTAGCAGCGTGTCACAATGCACTCCTGATTAAAATTTTCTTTTGTTCCATATAAACAATGAACCGTGTTCAGGTTAAACAAAGAAGCGTGTTAAAGGGTGCGAAAACGAAAGTCGTGTTATGCCGTGTCATATTGAACTCTGATGTGCGAAATATCACGCGTGTTAAATAATACCCATGTCAGATCAAAACATCTATAAGAGATTGCATGTGCGAAAAATTATACTATCTCCACTAAAGCAAAACCTGCATTCGTAACTTATTTTCATCATCGAATCACTGACTCATGTTGTAAACTTCACCTGTTATCTTCCAATGAATCACAATTTGTCACACCAAACCCATTTTTTTCACTCAAAACACGGAAATTTATAGCAAGATCGAGTTTAATCCATTGACACTTACGTGTAACGCAATCTAACACGTGCCTACGAAAAGTCAAAATTTTGGAGAAACCAACAAAGCAAACACAATGTGCAGTAAAAAAATTTTTAAAAATCATCTTCTCCAAAAAACAAGCTCCAGTGAAAGAAGACTAATTAAAGAACTTATTTTCGTCGAAAAAAGCGATAGATGCATATTTCGTTGTCTCTCAAAATCAAGATAAAAGATAAAAATCGCTAAATATTTTCGCATGTGTGCTGATGAGCCTGTGGATCATATTTCAAACGGGAATATGCAAATTTGTCCGTGAGTGAAGAGATCTCAAGTTCCATGGAACAATTAATAAGGAAGCAAGACTAAACTGGCCAAGAAATATTTCGGGACGACAGATTTATTCAAAACAGTTTTTTGATTTGCTGTTATAAGCGAAAAACGTACGAATTTCTTACGTATACAAAGCCCACGCGGTAAAAATTCATCATGATTAGATCGTTGTTTACTTGCCTTCATGGCCAGAAATTGCGCAACTTTACGTTGAAAATTCTGAAAAACTTTGATTTGACGCAAAATCCTCTATTAAACAATACTTTTTGAACACGTTGTTGCTCGAACATAATATTTACCGGCAATCGAATCGTCAAACTGTCGCTAGGCCCTGCTTGAAGTCGGCGCACGGTGAAAGTATTTGGCTAGGAACATAGGCTGTCTTTTTGCGTGAAGTCAGCGTACGGTGACAGCATTTGTGCTAGGAAGAACTCTTTACATAAGCCGTCTTTTTCGCTACAATTCTTTCAATCTGCGGAGCAACTTCTAAAACTAAAGGCTTTCTTGCTTAACCTCTTCGGTTGCCTAACAACTCTTTCCGTGCTACTGTCAGTGCCATATCGCACGACTTTAACACGCTACGAAGCATGTCATTTAACACGCTGTTGAAAATAAAAGATTGAGCGTGTTAAGACGCGAAAAACAAAAGCTACCGTGACACTCTTTGTTTCCTTGTTAATAAATGTGCATATGCGTGTCACATATCACGCTTAGCGTGGCGTGTCATCGCACGCGTGCCCGTGTTATCATCATTATGCTGGAAATCCTGTGGAGGGTGGGCTATCATGTCATTTGGGGCTTGAACAGACTAAAGAGTAAATGAAACAAATATTTGTAAATGAAATAGTTGTATTACAACATCCGATATATTATTCCTGGCTGAAGTTAGGGTCCTTTTGCTTGGCTTGGGAACTTGGTTTGGAACTAGTGAATTTTAGATTTTTCCAAAGCAACCTTTATTGAATTGGATTTTATACCCTCCTTTGGTATCTCCCCTCCTTTACAGATCTTTAAAGAGTACAACCAGATTTATATTTATTGATTACAAAGTCACTCCACTAAATTACAAATAGGTGGTAAATTAAACTAATTCTTATTATAAAGAAGTTGTAGAGAAGTAGACCGCCAAAAGTACTAATGCACTGTACCTGGGATGCCCCCAATAATTAAGATGTAAAAAACCATATACAAATAAAAAAATTAGGTGCTCTATTAATCCTTATAAGGATAATAATTATTAGATGGGTTCCTTATAGCAAAAGGGAACACAACCCCGTCCCCTGCATTACTGCTTGGAGTGCCTTCACAGGAGACTCCTTTGTTTTGATATTTTTGTCTAGTCAAGGAAGTTTGCTTTCTTTTATGCAAACACCTTTTATATACCTGGAATTTTAAGCAGTGTGTTCTCTTGTGACCACTGAACATAAGTCGTTGATTACGGACAGGACGAGCGATTGGTCGGGGGGTCCCGTCGATAAAACCCCAACACCCAGTAAGAGGAGCTCCTTTTTCATGAACAACCTTGGCAAGAGCCTCAGGATCAAGCCATACCAAGTCAAGACTATCTAAGAGGTGGTGAAATCTGTCATAGATATCATCCATAGTCTGAAATCCATGGAAAGTACAGCATTGTTAATGTGTATTGTTTTCTTGTGCATTTTTTCTTTTGTTTTTTTTATCGTTTTTAATGGGGTGGGTTGTTTGGAACCACATGTGGGAATATCATTTTAATTACTCTAACTGCAAAGAGAGTGGGGAGCATGGTTGGTGCAGTGGTGATAGCACTCGCCTTCCACCAATGTGGCCCAGGTTCAATTCCTGGACTTGGCATCATAATTGGGCAGAGTTTTAAGGTTCTCTCTCTACTCTGCTCTGAGAGGTTCTTCTCCAGGTACTTTGGTTTTCCCCTCTCCCTAAAAACCCACATTTGATTTGACTTAATTTGTGACTAGGGATTTGATAATTAGATTTGTCATTTGTAATTTGAATTGGGATGTGCAGATGAAAATTATCATACTGATATCTGTGCAATATAAGTTAATAAATATTATTATTATTATTAGTAAAGAGTTATTCCAATGAATATGATGAGTTGATTTTTTCCCTCTAAAAGCAAAAATCAAGAAAACAAACACAAAATGTACTGTAATGCCCTGTACACCCCCTAGTCAAATTCAAGAATGGTAAAGAGAAAGGGGAATAAAGACAACTTCTACAGGGATGATGAATGAACAAAGCAACATTTTTACCTTGTTAAATATCAAGCTCAGGTCTGATACCGTTCGGCCGAAAACAGGAACCAGATCACTCCATCAATGTAAGGGTACGCCAATCTTCTTAAAAGAATCATCAGTGCCTCCATCCCGGTAGCATTAGTCCCTTGTCTACAAATGTAATTGGCTGGCAGTTGTAAAGCATCCTGGAGTTTTTCCATATCTCCTTTTGAAAATCTGAGATTGAGGGTGAGCATTTTTAGCTTGAACTTGCTGAAGTCAGGTTTACAAGTATAAATACTCAGCCGTTCAAGAAAAGACCAAAAGCAAAGAATCTGTACCTAAACATGGCCTCGCACTGGACATCTGGTATATCCTGGAGATTAATACGGGGGTAGTTTGCATCGTCTTGTTGTGGAAACATGAATTCCAGCAAAAGTTCATCCAAGTCGTCTTCGCTGCTACTCGAGTCATCACTGCTGTCTTGCCACAGTATCACGTCGACGATATCATCAAAGTTTTTCCTGATGGACACAATTTTTTATGCCAAAAATTTGCTTTCCAATGCATAAAACTAATAATAAAATCACACTTGTCGAAAAACGTTTGAAGTTCTGACAAACAAATAGACACTAACCTTGCAGCTGCCGCCATTTTGGATTTTATTACCCAGAGTCCACTTCCTTAATCCACCGCCAATCTAAATCGAATTATGTTTGAACGTCGAACCGCAAACTGGTAACCGCAAACCGCGGTGAGAGGTTCGCGGTAAACTCGGATCTAAACCTTTGTCGATCATAAGATTCATGTTCAGCAGGATCACTCAGCAGTGTTTCAGCTTACCACTATAGTCGCTGGACTTCAGCTTGCAAAGGTAAACAAAACTTAAAAATAGCATCGCCATGAGCTACGGAGACAACTTGAATGTTAAATCAACTAAGCCCATTTTTCTTTACAGTTTGATTTACAGAAAACATTTCTACATTCCATGATAGTTTTACACTTTCACGGGATATCATGTGAATGGCTTAGAAAATGCACGCGTTTGGGCGGTATTTCAAGTAAAAGCTCTCTGAACCTTTGACAGCAGCCGAATATGGAGCACTTTTCCCATCTGAATATAATTAACCTTTACTGCGTTCATGTCACCCTTATCCAAATCTCTAGAAAGGCATGGGTTTTTGAAGCCTTTTAAAAAACTCGCAGCACGTTTTTTATCGGCTCTAAAAACACCCGGCTCTGCCTCGTCTTTTAAAGCCCGATAAAACTGCTGCTCGTTTTTTAAACATTACATAACTATATATATGCTGTGTATGCAAGATCCTACATGTTAAAAGATACTACTAGCTAGAGGGACAAGAACGAAGAGCATAATGAAAGTAATATAAAACAGTAAAAGCGAACGATAAAATCCGACGTTTCGGCCGAATAGTCATGAACTCCATTATCCAAATAACCATGCACTAATTCAAGTCTACTCTTGCACTATCAGAGTCACGCTGACAAACCGTTTAAAAAGGGGGAATCGTTCATTTCACTCCATAAAGACTAAATATAAAAGTTTCTTTGCAACACTCTCTGCATAGTTAATGTATGGGGTTATATGGAAATATTTCCCAAAAAGGTTCTACTAATGCTTGATCGAGCACATCGTTTATCTTCATCTCAGTAACATTTTTCCGACGGATGTGACCGTTTGAAGACACTATATCCCACGTTTGAAGTACTCCAAACACCAACTCTACTTGGCTCAAAGGCTTGTGACCAGCAGTAGCTTTTGTAGCCATCTTAGGAGACAGATGATACGGTTCGAGTAATTTTGCCACGTAGAGACCAATTCTCAGCAGATATTGTGAGGAAACAAGTAACTGAAGGATCTGAGCCTCAAAGTACACACCACCATCCAGCCTGTGTTTGTGAGCCGAAAATTGAACAAGAACTACTGAAATGCGAAAGAAACAAAGCCACCAGTTGTAAATCAGCAGTGTGTTTATAGTTTTCAAAGTGACCTGTGCGATACTGGTTATATGGGTTACACTCGCGTACATTTACATAATCGTGTAAAAGGACACAAACAATAATCCTCCGCTATTGCCAAACACTACAAGAACGTGCAGGGACGATGCCTAAAGCGTTTCGAAGTGTTTAAGCAATGCAGAAAAAAATTTGACTGCTTAGTGTACGAAATGCTTTCTCTGAGATCTTTAAAGCCAAATCTCAACCTCATTGCAATCATACTCCATTTGTGAGAAAGTATTTTGATAATCTTCGCACCCTTTTATGTTAATTCTTCGCGCAATTGGCATGATCTGATATATTTTACTTGATAGTGGAGTCGTGATAATTCCGAAACGTCAGATTTCATCTTTGGTTTTTACCGTTTTATGTTCACGTTTAGTCAGTCGCATATTTCAAAGCCATAGCACTTCCCTGGGGAAATGATAAAACGGTTGTAACCAAAAAAAGCAAGGCCAGAGTCACGTTTCGCCCACTCAAATGGTTCTAATTATGGTGTCTGCACGAGTCACGTTTTGCCACTTACACACACACACAAATAAATTACATGCAGTAAATGGTTTGAACCCGGGGGTAACATGTGAAGGTGTAGTCTGATCGTCCGGGTGAGTGTAGTCCTGAGAAGGACTGTTGTCGGTGGCAGTGACTGACGTTTCGACAACCTGTGCGGAAGTCATCATCAGAGTCAAGTGAGTGATTGTTGTCAGTAGAATGTTCTTATTCCAGTTCGTGTGAAATGATCGGTTGGTTTTGCCGTGATGTTATTGGCTGTAAGACTCAAGTGACGTAAGTCGTTCGTGATTGGTCTGTTTCGGTCTGTCGGTAAAGCTAGGTTGTTCTTTTTCGGTCGTTTGTGATGTTTATGTCGTGAATGAGTCGTTTGTATGGGGCGGGTAGTTGTTGACATCTGTTTAGGGGAGTCTGTTCTAAGTTAGTAAACCAGCTTTCCAGAGTCAGTCGTTGAAAATAGTCAGTGCTGTAGGTTAGGCATTGCGCAGAGTCCCAGTCAATGTTGTGGTTGGTAAGTCGATGGTGTTCAGCAATGTGATTGCTGACATCACCTTTCCTCGTCGCCCGTCTGTGTTCAGTCAGTCTTGTTGTGAGGTTTCTGCCAGTCTCACCGATGTAGGAGGCTTGGCAGTCGGAACAATTGATCTTATAAATCGTTCCCTGTCTGTTCCTCGGTTCGTCTTTGTCTTTAACGTTGGTTAGTAACTGACGTAGTGTGGTGATGGGTTTGTGGGCGACGCGGATATTGAAGGGTAGTAAGATGCGCGAGATGTTTTCAGACATGCCTTTTATGTACGGTATGGTTGCTGTAGTCGTAGGGGTTGCGGTGTCGTTTGTTTCGGTAGTGGTAGTGGGTCGGTGAGTGTTTCGTCGGATGAAGTCGTTGTTGTAGTTGTTCTTCGTAAAAACACGGTGAAGGTATTTGTTCTCGTCGGATAAGCTGTCTGTCGAGTCACATACTAGTTGTGCGCGTCGTGTTAGAGTTCTGATAGTTGTGGCTTTGTGTGATGTAGGGTTGTAGGATGACTCGTCTAGTAATCTGTCGGTGTGTGTCGGTTTCCTGTAAACTGTCGTTCGTAATGAGTTGTCGTTGTGGCTTACCAGGCAGTCTAGAAAAGGAAGTTTGCCATTTTCTTCGACTTCTCTGGTAAACTGTATGTCAGTGTTTTGTTCGTTAAGGTGGTTGTGGAATGCGTCAATTTCGTCGTGTCGAACGGCGGTGAATGTGTCGTCAACGTAACGTAACCAAAGCGGTATCGTTTGTCGGCAAGTCGAAAGGGCGCGTTCCTCGATGTTCTGCATCACAATTTCTGCTATAACAACAGAAACTGGAGACCCCATGGCAGTGCCGTGTAACTGTTTGTAGTGTTTACCGTTGTACTGAAAGTAAGTAGACGTTAGGCAAATGTTTAGCAAGTCCATGATGTCGTCTGTCGGTAGCGGTAGTGG